TTTTCCCTATCTTGGGAGCAGTTTTACTTGCTTTCCTTGCAATTTTCTTCATCAAAACAAGAAGAAAGAGAGAGCCGGAAACAAAAAAGAGTGATATCCATGATGAAGTTTTTTCAATCTCTCCTTTTGATGGAAAAAAAATGTATTTGGAGATCATAAGAGCAACCAATGGTTTTGACTCCATATTTTGCATTGGGAAGGGAGGATCTGGAAGTGTCTACAAGGCAAAGCTACCATCAGGCAGCATAGTTGCAGTGAAGAAACTCCATCAAAAACTTGACGAGGAGGAGACATCGCTGAAGGAGTTCCACAATGAAATAAGTGCACTAATCAATATACGACATCGAAACATTGTGAAATTTTGTGGCTTTTGCTCAAATTCACAGCACTCCTTTCTGGTCTATGAATATCTAGAAAAGGGTAGTCTGGCTTCAATCTTGAGGAAAGAAGACGAAGCAAAAGAATTGGATTGGAGTAAGAGGGTGAGAATTGTAAAAGGCGTAGCTCATGCACTGTCTTACCTGCATCATGATTGCGTGCCGCCAATTGTACACCGAGACATATCAAGCAGCAACATTTTGCTGGATTACGACTACGAGCCTTGTGTTTCAGACTTTGGCACTGCTAAGCTTTTGAATCCAGACTCATCGAATTGGAGCTGCCTTGCAGGCACATATGGATATGTAGCACCAGGTAAAGTAAAACAGTTAAAATATATAATGTTGAATTTGGTGATATAAAGTTAAACGTATGCTAATGGCTTGCCTTCCCTTAATTTTTATGCAGAGTTGGCCTACACAAGGAAGGTAACTGAGAAATGTGACGTTTATAGCTTCGGAGTGCTGGCACTCGAAGTGATCATGGGAAAGCGACTAGGCGATTTAATCTCGTCCATTTCGTCTCCATCCGATTGTGAAAACAAGTTGCTGAAGGATGTATTGGACCAACGACTTTCACCTCCTACACCTGAAGTTGAAGATGAACTGACAACCATTGCAAGGGTAGCAATTGCATGCAGGCACTCGCAACCGCAGTCGAGGCCAACAATGCACATGGTTTCTCAGTCGTTATCATTTCAAACTGCAGCTTCCACTGGAGGACCAAACATCACGCTTGAACAACTCATTAAGATTTAAATTGCATTTGACATTGTTTGAGTTGACACGGAAGTCAGATCTTCTTGTTTAAATATATCATATATGTAATCTGTTATATTTGCAGGTAAATTGAGAATAAGAGAGGAGTGCTAGCTGGACTCGTTGAACAGCGAGTCCCACATATATTACTGCTTAAATGGTTAGACCAAAATATCCTATTTAGTATTTACTAGAAATTGGTGCATGCACGTTGCTGCAAGATTAAACATTGTATGAAAGATTGTGTTGAAAGATATAAAAAAAAAGTTATTATTGAAAAAGTTATTTTTACATACAAAAGATTTGATGGATACAGTCTACATTCGCATTAATAAAAGATGACAAAAGTTGTTCTCTGGAACACCAAAAATTTCTCATTGCCAAGAAAACAGACTAGGCAAGGGGAAAAAAATTATTATTAAAATACCTGCAATGAATTTTGACATGAACAAATTTATATTGTATAAAAATGTAAGGATATAGTACGGTTACTTCGTATTTTTTTGATGGAAAGGAATCTGGTTTTCTAGCGACAACTAATCTTATTCGTGACATAAACCTAAAGACTAAACAACAGCATAATTAGCATTCATATTTTTAAAATCTCATTTGTTACATAAACCTAAAGACTAAACAACAGCATAATTAGCATTCATATTTTTAAAATCTCATTCGTTACATAAACCTAAAGACTAATTAGTAGACCTGACAATTTATTACACGACCCGTTAACACGACACGTAAACGACACGAAAATAACGGGTTTCGGGTCAACACGATAACTAATCGGGTCATTATCGGGTCACATGATAATAACCCGTTAATAACGGGTCCTTAATAGGTTTACACGAAAGTGACACGCGGGTAACCTGTTTCGACACGATAAGAAAAATGTTATTTTGATGATTTTAATTTTTTAAACTACTAAAAAAAACTTACTATAAAATGCAATAGATATAATGAATATGTATATATTTTTTATTAATTATTATTCTATTATTATTTTATATAAATTTTAAAATTTAAGTTTTATTTATTTATTTATTTTTATAATATATTATAGGCAAAGATTGAGATTAAAAATCATAAAACACATTAAAAGTAAAAATATCAAGTAATTTAAAAATACCAAAAACATAAAAAAATTATAATAATTAATTTCCCGCCTAATATTTCAAGAGTTTCATCCATTTCCCACCTAATGTTTGGGAAATTTTGCAACCTATATCCATCCATTTCCCGCCTAATGTTTAACCCAAAGAAAAAAAGTAACCAGCTTTTTTTTTTTTTTTTTTTTTTTTATCTCTTATAACATTTTAACTTGAATAAAAATAAAATACGTAATAAAAAAACATAAATGTAATTTTATTATTAAATATCATCACATACTAATTGAAACATAGTCTAATTAACACTTAAAATATATAAATAATTAATATATTTATTCCAAGTCATCAAAACGATAAGATTCACTAACGCTTAAAGTTTATTTATACTTTCATTAAGTATAACATCAATGCGTATCCCATCAAAATGATGAAAGTATGAATAAACTCTTAAGTGTTAGTGAATTTATCGTTTTGACGGGATAAGTATCCTACAAAACTAATTTCAACAATCCAACCGTCAAACTTGTTTATACATGCTTCGAGATCGCATACTCCAAAAATTGCAAAAAACAAACATTCAGAGATGAAGTAATGAGACAAAACTTTTTAACGGTTGTAAACGAAAAATCACGATTTAACGGTTATTTTAACTCCGATTTTGATAACTTTTTACAGCTACACTCCTTGACCTTATATGAATACAATGAATGAATTCGATCTTCAATTTAAAATATTTACACTACTGTATACCACAAATCTTATGTTATACTTAATGAAAGTATAAATAAACTCTTAAGTGTTAGTTAATGTATCGTTTTGATGGGATACGCATCCTATGAAACTAATTTCAATGATCCAACCGTCAAATTTGTTTATACATGATTCGAGATCACATACACCAAAAATTGCAAAAACAAAACATTCAGAGATCAAGTAACGGGACAAAACTTTTCGACGGTTATAAACGAAAAATCACGATTTAACGGTTATTATAACTTCGATTTTGATGATATTTTATAGGTACACTCCTTGACCTTATATAAATACAATGAATGAATTTGATCTTCAATTTAAAATATTTACACTAGTGGAAACCACAAAATCTTATGTTATACTTGATGAAAGTATAAATAAACTCTTAAGTGTTAGTGAATTTATTGTTTTGATGGGATACACATCTTAGAAACTAATTTCAACGATCCAACCATCAAACTTGTTTATATATGCTTCAAGATCGCATACGCCAAAAATTGCAAAAAACAAACATTCAGAGATCAAGTAATAAGACAAAACTTTTCGACGGTTATAACAAAAAATCACGATTTAACGGTTATTTTAACTCTGATTTTGATGATTTTTTACAACTATACTCCTTGAACCTAAACAAATACAATGAATGGATTCGATCTTCAATTTAAAATATTTACACTAGTGGATACCACAAAATCTTATGTTATACTTGATGAAAGTATAAATAAACTCTTAAGTGTTAGTGAATCTATCGTTTTGATGTGATATGCATCCTACGAAACTAATTTCAATGATCCAACCGTCAAACTTGTTTATATATGCTTCGAGATCGCATACGTCAAAAATTGCAAAAAACAAACATTCAGAGATGAAGTAATGAGGCAAAACTTTTCGATGGTTATAAACGAAAAATCCCGATTTAACGGTTATTTTAACTCCGATTTTGATGATTTTTTACAGCTACACTCCTTGACCCTAAACAAATACAATGAATGAATTCGATCTTTAATTTAAAATATTTACACTAGTGGATACCACAAAATCTTATGTTATACTTGATGAAAGTATAAATAAACTCTTAAGTGTTAGTGAATCTATCGTTTTGATGGGATACGCATCCTACGAAACTAATTTCAACGATCCAACCGTCAAACTTGTTTATATATGCTTTGAGATCGCATACGCCAAAAATTGCAAAAAAAAAACATTCAGAGATCAAGTAATGAGACAAAACTTTTCGACGGTTATAAACGAAAAATTACGATTTAACGGTTATTTTAACTCCGATTTTGATGATTTTTAACAGCTACACTCATTGACCCTATATGAATACAATGAATGAATTCGATCTTCAATTTAAAATATTTACACTAGTGGATACCATAAAATCTTATGTTATACTTGATGAAAGTATAAATAAGTGTAGATTTTTAAAAATCTCATGAACAATGTTATTTATTTGAGTGAAAAATTAATAATAATAAGTGTGAAAAATGTAATCACACGTAATGAAAAACTTTACAACGTTCATTAAGGGGTCAACTCCGAAATTTAGTTTGTATATACAAATTTAGTATTATGTTTTACATTTTTTTGGGTCAAATTATGTTTTTCTTTTCATTTTTATTGATTTAAAATATAATTTTCTTAACGGCTAACGGGTCGGGTCATATTACCTGATAATATTAACGGGTTAATTTCGGGTCGGGTCATATTACCTGGTTACTTTAACAGGTATTACACGACACGACCCGTTAAGCTATCGGGTATGACACGAAAACGACACGAACACGAGAAACACGACACGAATGCCAGGTCTACTAATTAGTATCAAAAAATTCAAAATTCAAAGTCTTCGCAGAAAAAGACCATAAAAGTATCAAAAAATACAATTTATATCTTAATACAACATTTGGATCAAAAGTCAAAGATAACAAAAACAAATTAATAATGCATCTCACTATAAATAACACCCTGAGTTGCTTAAAAAAAGTATACACAAACCATGGTGAGATTTTCAACTTATTGTGATAAAGTATACTTTCTAGCCTGCCTTTTCTTATATCTTCAGCTAGCTTCATCACCAAAAAGTGCTTTTGCTTCTGCCAATTCCATTGAAGCAGAAGCACTCCTCAAATGGAAAGCTAGCTTTCAAAACCAAACCCAAAACAACCTGACCTCATGGATTAATGCAAATGAAGCCCCATGCAATACTTGGGTTGGTGTTTCATGCAACTCTGCTGGAAGTGTCAACAGATTAAACCTCACCAATTCTGGTATACATGGTACTCTACTCGAATTTCCATTCATGTCCTTGCCTAATCTTGCATATGTTGACCTTAGCTTGAATGAACTTTTTGATCAAATCCCACCTGAGATCAATTCCCTCACCAAACTCATCTATTTTGATATATCCTACAATCAAATGTCTGGAAAAATCCCACCCGAAATCGGTCTTTTAACAAATCTTCAGGTCCTTCACCAAAATGCAAATAAGTTCAATGGCTCAATTCCTCAAGAAATAGGCCAACTTAAATTTGTCTATGAGCTAGCTCTAAACTTAAACAATTTAGAGGGTTCAATTCCTGCTTCTGTGGGTAATTTGAGCCAATTGACTTCTTTGATTCTCTTCGGAAACCAACTTTCGGGTTCCATCCCTCCCGAAATAGGAAACCTTTCAAAATTGGTTAAACTTTTCCTGAAGATATTGGAAACTTGAAATTTGTTGTGACTCTAGACTTGGCCAACAATCAGCTCAACGGAACCGTTCCCTCTTCATTCGGCAACTTGAGCAGCCTAGAAAACCTATACCTCCGCGGCAACCAGCTATCTGGATCAATCCCCCAAGAGATGGAGAATCTAATGAAGTTGACCATACTTGTCTTGGCTACTAACCGATTTTCTGGTTATTTGCCTCGAGATATTTGTAGAGGTGGACTCCTACAAAGGTTAACTGCACAAGAGAACGAATTTACAGGTCCAATCCCGAAAAGCTTGAAAGGTTGCAAGAGCTTAGTCAGAGTCAGTCTCCAACGGAACCAATTTACAAGCAATAATATATCTGAAGACTTTGGTGTCTATCCGAATCTTGAGTTTGTAGACCTAAGCCACAACAACTTAGATGGCGAAATCTCAGACATCTGGGGACAGTGTCCAAACTTAACAACCCTTCGGATTGCAGGGAACAACCTTACTGGGAGCATACCATCTAAGATTGTCAATGCAACTAAAATTCAAGAACTCGATTTTTCTTCGAATCATCTGGTTGGGGTGGTTCCCAAGGATTTGGGGAGATTGACTTCTATGGTGGATCTAAAGTTGAATGGCAATCAACTTATTGGTTCTATACCCTCGGGATTTGGAGCATTCACTGAACTCGAATATCTTGACGTGTCCACCAACAAGTTGAATGGCTCAATTCCAAGCATTTTTGGCGAATTGGTCCATTTATATTACTTGAATTTGAGCAACAACAATTTCAGTCAAGAAATTCCACTTCAGTTGGGCGAGTTATTTCACCTGTCACAGTTAGATTTGAGTCATAACTCACTTGACGGCAAGATACCATCAGAAATTAGCAAAATGCAGAGCTTGGAGCAGCTGAATCTTTCCCACAATACTCTTTCCGGTCTCATTCCAGCAACGTTTGATAGAATGCGCAGCTTGTTGTACATAGACGTATCCTACAATCACTTGCAGGGTCCCATCCCCTACAACAAAGCATTTCAAGATGCTCACAGCTTTGAAGGGAATGTAGGATTGTGCGGAAATGTTGTAGGACTAGAATCCTGCAATAAGCACGTCTCAAAAAGAAAAAACAATAGAAAACTCGTGTTTGCAATTGTTTTCCCTATCTTGGGAGTAGTTTTACTTGCTTTCCTTGCAATTTTCTTCATCAAAACAAGAAGAAAGAGAGAGCCGGAAACAAAAAAGAGTGATATCCATGATGAAGTTTTTTCAATCTCTCTTTTTGATGGAAAAAAAATGTATTTGGAGATCATAAGAGCAACCAATGGTTTTGACTCCATATTTTGCATTGGGAAGGGAGGATCTGGAAGTGTCTACAAGGCAAAGCTACCATCAGGCAGCATAGTTGCAGTGAAAAAACTGCATCAAAAACTTGACGGGGAGGAGACATCGCTGAAGGAGTTCCACAATGAAATAAGTGCACTAATCAATATACGACATCGAAACATTGTGAAATTTTGTGGCTTTTGCTCAAATTCACAGCACTCCTTTCTGGTATATGAATATCTAGAAAAGGGTAGTCTGGCTTCAATCTTGAGGAAAGAAGACGAAGCAAAAGGATTGGATTGGAGTAGGAGGGTGAGAATTGTAAAAGGCGTAGCTCATGCACTGTCTTACCTGCATCATGATTGCGTGCCGCCAATTGTACACCGAGACATATCAAGCAGCAACATTTTGCTGGATTACGACTACGAGCCTTGTGTTTCAGACTTTGGCACTGCTAAGCTTTTGAATCCAGACTCATCGAATTGGAGCTGCCTTGCCGGCACATACGGATATGTAGCACCAGGTGAAGTAAAACAGTTAAAATATATAGTGTTGAATTTGGTGATATAAAGTTAAACGTATGCTAATGGCTTGCCTTCCCTTAATTTTTATGCAGAGTTGGCCTACACAAGGAAGGTAACTGAGAAATGTGACGTTTATAGCTTCGGAGTGCCGGCACCGGAAGTGATCATGGGAAAGCGACTAGGCGATTTAATCTCGTCCATTTCGTCTCCATCCGATTGTGAAAACAAGTTGCTGAAGGATGTATTGGACCAACGACTTTCACCTCCTACACCTGAAGTTGAAGATGAACTGACAACCATTGCAAAGGTAGCAATTGCATGCAGGCACTCGCAACCGCAGTCGAGGCCAACAATGCACATGGTTTCTCAGTCGTTATCATTTCAAACTGCAGCTTCCACTGGAGGACCAGACATCACGCTTGAACAACTCATTAAGATTTAAATTGCATTTGACATTGTTTGAGTTGACACGGAAGTCAGATCTTCTTGTTTAAATATATCATATATGTAATCTGTTATATTTGCAGGTAAATTGAGAATAAGAGAGGAGTGCTAGCTGGACTCGTTGAACAGCGAGTCCCACATATATTACTGCTTAAATGGTTAGACCAAAATATCCTATTTAGTATTTACTAGAAATTGGTGCATGCACGTTGCTGCAAGATTAAACATTGTATGAAAGATTGTGTTGAAAGATATAAAAAAAAAAGTTATTATTGAAAAAGTTACTTTTACATACAAAAGATTTGATGGATACAGTCTACATTCGCATTAATAAAAGATGACAAAAGTTGTTCTCTGGAACACCAAAAATTTCTCATTGCCAAGAAAACAGACTAGGCAAGGGGAAAAAAATTATTATTAAAATACCTGCAATGAATTTTGACATGAACAAATTTATATTGTCTAAAAATGTAAGGATATAGTACGGTTACTTTGTATTTTTTTGGTGGAAAGGAATCTGGTTTTCTAGCGACAACTAATCTTATTCGTGACATAAACCTAAAGACTAAACAGCAGCATAATTAGCATTCATATTTTTAAAATCTCATTCGTTACATAAACCTAAAGACTAATTAGTAGCATAATTAGCATTTCTATTTTTAAAACCAAATTATGTGTAGGCAAACCATTTAAGTCAAGTTTGTTTGAAAAATCAATAAGATACACTGTTTCAAGTTTTTCATTTGAAGAATACAAAAAATCATAACATAAAAGCTATGATTATTAAAACAAAGACGCACCTAGAACTAAAAGCTCAGTGAAAGCTCCGTTTACACAAAAGCTATAACCAAAATCACAAACTAAAATCTGTCACACCCAAAATTTTTTTGGGTCCCGCTTCTTTCGAACCCCGTCTTCAAATCCCCAAGCGATCGAATCTAATCTGACGACGTTTTCGACGCTTCGAATCCCTATGTCCTGGTTACTGAGAGTGGCAGCCCCAATTCGAAGCTTTTGGGGTACGTGGCGGGCAAGGATTGGGTGAAATTGGGGGACAAGGAGGTGAAGATTTCCGATTACATGGTGAACTGTACGGACTTCACGGTGCCGTGGAGTTACGATTTGGGGGGCGATTGGGGAGTACATGGAGGAGAAAAAGCTAGATGTGGTTGCGACTGTGAGGGACAATGAGGTTGTGGATGTGGTGGCGAAGGAGGAGGTGGAGAGGATCAAAGGGTACCCCAAGGTGAGGGTTGGGACGGTGGGCCCAGACGGGAAGTGGCGGGTCGGGGCGGCGATCGGCACAAGGGAGTCGGATAAGTAGAGATTGGAGGAGTTGGTGAAGGCAGGGGTGGATGTAGTGGTGTTGGATAGCTCTCAGGGGAACTCCATTTATCAGACTGAGATGATCAAGTATGTGAAGAAAATGTACTAGAGTTTGGATGTAGTTGGCGGGAATGTGGTGACAGTGAGTCAGGCGCAGAATTTGAATCAGGCTGGTGTTGACGGGTTGAGGGTTGGAATGGGGTCTGGCTCAATTTGTACCACTCAAGAGGTTTGCGCTGTCAGTTGCAGGCAGGTATAAAGATGCCTTCTTTTTGTTAGTTGTTGCTTTTGTGATTGATGCTTTAGTTTGTGTTCTCATTGTTGGCGGCTAATTTAAGGATTTGTAGAACCTGGAGGTGTTGAAAGTTATGATATTTGTAGTGATCGGTTTAATTTCTTGAATTCTTTGTGGATGAAAAATATTTAATTAAGGATTTGTTAATCAATGACATTGTGCCTAACAATCGTTGTTTTGATGGGTGTTTTACTATTTAGTTATTAGTCCGAACGTAGAAAACAAAGGTTCGACTTTAGCTTCTGGCAGTGACAACCCTTTGATGGACTAAAACAGTGGAGTTTGTGGCATGAAAAATATATAATTACATTTTGGAACTTTTTGAAGACTTTGTTTGACGTTTTGTTCTACAGGTTGCTGAATGCTATACCATTTTATGACCAAAGTTGTCTTGGTTTTGGTGATATGTTTCAGGCAACTGCTATTTACAAGGTTGCGTCTCTTCCTTCACAAAGTGGTGTGCCTGTGATTGCTGATGGTGGAATTTCCAATTCTGGACACATTGTCAAGGCTTTGGTCCTTGGGGCTTCTACCATCATGATGGGAAGCTTCTTAGCTGGAAGCACTGAGGCTCCCGGGGTTTTTGTGTATCAGGTATGTCTGGGACTTACGCATGTTTTTACGCATGTTTTCGTTGGGGCTTTGGAAGATTCAAAGTATGACATGGACAGGCTTCTATTTTCTGGTGCAATCTGCAGACTTTAGTTTTGTTTTATTCCATGCTTAACTCCATATATGGACCTGTCGACATTGGAAACCTCAGCATAATAACAAGAAGAAATTTCCACAATTTCATTAACACGTGATTTTGACTGTTTTGTTATCTCGAAGGAAAATAATTTGGCTGTTGAAAAATCAACAGTAGATTCTTTTGCTGTCTATCACAGATATGCGTCTGAGTAATTAATTTTTTTAATTACAAAATAAACACGTGTTCATTTGTGATTGGCTAGCCGTAAGAACTGCTGATTTTTCAGCAGCCAACTACCATCTATCTTGAATTATATTGATTTTTCAGCAGCCAAATAACATCCATCTCGAAATTATGTGGTGCAAGTGCAAGTTGTTTTGACATAAATTTGAGTGGGACATTTATAAGTTTTTGGTCCAAATTATCTCCAAAGGATGTATTTAGGAGGTGGGAAAAGTAGGAATTTGGGTTTCAGTGTATATTTGGATCTTGCATGCACGCCGAATGGATAAGAAAGGCAAGTGGGCCGAGGGGGACAACAAGTTGCAATAGCGCATGAAGGGGGAGTGGCGGGCCCGCTGGTCAGAAGAAACAAAATAACAATACCATGCGATATTACCTATGCGGATATTTTGAACACTATCTTTTCATTCTCTTTTAATTAACAAGATTTTTTCATTAATAAATAGTTTTAGGTTACGAAATAATGCAATTTCAATTGTTTACCACATATTTTTTTTTCTTTTTCTTTTTTTAATATAGGTTTGTACCTTTACATGACCACATAAAAAAGAAAAAAGACAGCTGCTGAATATTTGACTTTACAACAAGGAGATTGATTTATTAAATATGTAAAAGACTACAAAATGGAGTAGTATGTGAAAGAGATAAGTGAATGCGAAAATCACCTCCTTTAATAAGTAATCTACCAAGCTTGTAAGTGTATTTTCTATAAATGAGAGATTTGCGACTTGAAATTAGTATATAATATTAATCTTCAAACTTTGTAAGTAGTGTTCAGTATTCAAGTAGTTACTTCATTATTATAAAATAAATAGAATGATATAAAAAATATATTATTTTCTCTAGTTGTACTGTTACATGTAGAGTACCACTCGAATAAACTATTGAACAGCATTCATTAGGAATGGGTAAGTTGGGGTTTGGAAGATTCAAAGTATGACATTGACAGGTTCTTATTTTCTGGTCCAATCATACTTTCCGTTTCTTCCATGCTATAGCAGACATTGACATACTGATCGCTTTAGACATTTCAACATTGAAAACCTCACACATAATAACAAAGAAGATATTTCGTTTTGCATAATTTCGTCAGCAAGTGACTTTGACAGTTTTATTTTATCATCTCGAAATTGTGTTCAAGTCGCTTCGATATAAATTTGAGAAGGGTCATTTATGGATGACTAAATGGGCATGCAGAAATCTTGACCTACCCCTAACATGCATAATCAGTTCGATGTCAAGTAAGTATCAATAAAAATATAGGATAAATTATACTTTCATACCTCAGGTTTTAGACTCTATTTCAATTCCTTACAATATCTTCAAAACATTTCACTTTCATACCTTAAGTACTATTTTATTTCAAAATAATACCTCCGTTACATTTTCTATCCATTGATCCGTTAAGCATTGGACGTGGCTACCACATTTGTACCAAGTGACTGCCAAATGTGTGCCACGTGGCAAAAAAAAAAGATTTTTTTTTTAAAAAAACCTGAATCTTCAACACAAAAATAAATAAATAAACAAAAAACCTAGGAAACCCAAATCCTATCAATTTGGGATTTTGAAATGGGGATTAGAGTTTCGATTTGGGTTTCGAAATAATTTCGATATGGGGATAGGGGATTGTTGAGGCCAATCCTTTCGTGTAATGATTGCGGGGATTGTTGAGGTATGTACTGTAACGGTATATTGATGCAATTGCAGCAATTTACTTCCTTTATGTGCGAATTTTTAAATTGATTAAGCGTAGTAAGATACAAAAGTTTTCATGTGGTAATTCTAATATAGAAAATTGCATCAATGATCCCTCAATTTTAACTTAATTGGAGTAATGGTTCTTCAACTAAAAATCTGTAACCATTGTTGTCTTAACTCATCAAAACGTGCAACTATGGTCCTCTTCGTCAATTCCATTAGAATTTCCGTCAAAATGAGTCATGTGCCATGCATGTGAGGTTGAATCAAGGAGAAAATAGGGAAAACCAAATGAGAAAAATTGTAGTAATGATTCGTCAACTTTAACCCAATTGAAGAAATAGTCCCTCAACTTTAACCCAATTAAAGCGATGATCTCTCAACTTTAATCCAATTGTAGCAAGGGTTCTTACAAGACTCATTTTGATGGAATCCTAACAGACTTGACGAAAATGATCATAATTGCATGTTTTGATGAGTTAAGGAATCAATGGTCATGAATTTTTAGTTGAGGGACCATCGCTCAAATTAAATTAAAGCTGAGATACTATAACTACAATTTTCTCAATCTAATAATCAGAAATATTTTTGCGTTGTAAATGGAGAGCAATAGAGTACATGCAGCATAGCTTAACATTTACGGCTGGAAAATTTTGGGTAAAATTGAGCTTAAATTGGGTTTTGTTGGGCTTAAAATCAAAAGCCCAAAAAATTTGGTCCGAAAGCCCATTACCGAATTTCGGGAAAATTGGTTCGGTTTGGTTTTTCAACCTCTTTCCCAAACAATTTTGGTTTGGTTTTGGGACCAACCATTTCTGTTCGCTATCCCGACTCGAACTGCCCCTAATTACAATAAAGATAATTTCGCACTGTTGTTTTCTCATTATTAATCTTTGATTTATTAAATATAAAAAAAGGAATATATGGAAGATAAAAATTATTGCGAAAATCATCTCTGAATACTTGACCTACCATGCTTACAAATGTATTTTCTATACATGAGAGATGCGCAACTCATAATTAGTACATAATATTAATCGTTGAACTTTCTAAGTAAGGAGAAATTTTTTCGAGTATCCAATATTCAAACAGGTACTTTACATGTTATAAAAAAATTGAAAAGACATTAAAAAATATTTTATTTTCTTTAGTCGTATTGTGACATGCCGAGTATTGCTTGAATACCCATACTTACAAAAAAACTTCATCGAGAAGGAGCATTAGTAATGACTAATGATTTAGTCGGGGGTTTGGAAGATTCAAAGTATTACATTGACAGGCTTCTATTTTTCGGTCCAATTTGCCGACTTCAGTTTTATTTTCTTCCATGCTTAATTTCATATTGGACATTTCGACATTGAAAACCTCAACCATAATAACAAGAAGAAAATTCGTTTTGCATAATTTCAAAACATGTAGTTAGGGATGGGTAAATACCCATCAGTTATGGGTAACCGCCAGCTACCCGCTCATAACGGTTACCCATAACCGTAATCGTAAAATTTAAATGGGCGGGTAGGTTATCCGCCCATTTAAATTGCATGGTTAAAGTTATGGGTAACTGTTTAGATAAATAAACGGTTATGGGTATAACCGTTTATCCGTGAAATTTAAATGGGTGGTTATGGGTATTAACCCTAGTTATAAACGGATAACCATTTACCCGTTTATTTTACATATAAAAAATTAACACAAACTATGTTCCCTATCAGACAAAACTTAAATCAATGATATTGATTATAATGCATGGTTTCTGTAGTTAATATGATATAGACTCAACACAATTTGACGAACTTGTAGCCGTTATATCAAATTTCAAGAGTTCATATCTCCGGATCCTTAAGACTTGGTGGGAGAGATCCGGCTCGGATCTCTGTCCCAGTTTGAGAATATATCATCTCACTGCATGTGTCTGGATATATGCTAGTGCTGCAGTGCAATTGAAAATTTTTAATTTGGAGAAAAGATGAACTTGCTCTTGCTTTTCATCTTCTCTCTCATCAACTCCTTCGGATTATCATGTAAGCGACAAGCTATCCCTCCCTTTCTCTCTCTAAGATTTTTGTTTAATTCAGTTGTTCAAATTTTGGTGACAATTAATATATGATGCAGATGGGTATGATCCATTAGATCCATATGCCAACATAACAGTTAGATGAGATTTTCTGCAGCAAAGTGGAACATATTATATTTGTGTTGAAAAAACATGTAGACTCCTCGATTGTCAAATGACAAATTTTTCTTTGTTAATTTTTAAGTTGTTAAAAAAACATGTAGACAGATGAAAAAAAAGGTAAACGGTAAAAAAGAAAGAATAAACGGGTTAAAAAAGGGTAAATAGGTAAACGGTTACGGTTAAATAGGTACGCGGTTATGAGTATGCTTAATCATTTATAAACGGTTATGGGTATAGTTATAACTTTTTAGGCAAATACCCAACGGGTAAACGGTTATACGGATATAAGCATTAACAGTTATGGATAAATAATTACGGTTACCTGCCTATCATAACCGTTACCCATCCCTACATGTGGTCTTGACAGTTTTATTATCTCGAAATTCTGTGGAAGTTATATGGATCACTAAATGAGCATACAGAAACCTTGACCTAACAATAACATTTGGCTACCTAAAACGCGTTTAGATATGCGTGTGGGTCCCATATATATGTATCTGTGGAAGTTATATGGATGACTTAATGGGCACACAGAAACCTTGACCTGGCAATAACATTTGGCTACCTAAAACGCGTTTAGATATGTGTGTGGGCCGCGTGCGTGTGTGTGTGTGTGTATGTATGTATGTATGTATGTATGTATATATAGCTTACTTGCTTAGCTAGGGGAATGAAGGAGCCAAACTTTACCTCTACTAATGAAAATGGTTCCCTTCCTTGTATTGCTATTGTTATCATCAAAATTAGTGTTTGCCAATATTTCACAAGATCAAATACACAGTTACTCTCTCTCTCTCTCTCTCTCTCTCTCTCTCTCTCTCTCTCTCTCTCTCTCTCTCTCTCTCGTAGACATTAAATGATTGTTTTGGCTCTTTGATACCTATTTAAATTTTAATTTAAAATAAAAAATAAAAAGCTAAAAGTTATTTTTGTGAGTGTGTTTTCAATATAATGCTTTGATTTCGGTGTAAAATTTGTAAATTGAATGGTTGTTGAATGAGCTTTAACATCTAGTCATCTATAATGATGAAAGTTTCTTCTTGTTAATTCAGAAGATGCAAGGAAGATGGTTTTCAATATGTCGCCAATGCAAATGGAGGTGATTCTGGCACGGAAACTTGGAAGAAACCCACCTCATCATGTGGGAGCACCACCAGGTGACAAACCGTCTGGATCGTGAAAGTAGCTATTGTGACATATATCCCTGTTGTACTGGCTAGCAGTGTCACATCAACAAGCTTAACGGAACGGTGTTTAGTTTGTTAAGTAGTTGGGCGAATCTCTCCAAGAAGATTAGTATCTTTGTTTGTAGTAAAATTTTCTACATGTTTATAATAGCATACTTTTAAATAAGTGTTTATTAAAAATTAAAAATAAATAAAAAATAAATAAAGTGTTTCTTGTAGGGTTTGAGATTGCTGTATTTTTTTAATAAATTGTTTCTATTGTGTTTTAAGAAGAATTAGCTGCAAAATAAATTAGTTGAGTTTGATAAACATCTTTTAAAATGTTGTGGATATGAAAAGCAATGTAAAAGTAATGTCTAGAAGGATAAATAATGTAATTGTTTAAAGGTAATGAGCTTATGAATTAGAAATATTCTAAAGGCTCAACTCTGTTAAAGCGATTTTTAAAAACAACCTATAGGCTGCAAGCGATTGCTTTTAAAACAAGTAATATATTTTATTTTTACCAAATATTTTTTTACTATTTAACTTTAAAATGAAGTAATTTTTAATTAAAAAAAAAAATATCAAATTGAGCCAAAGTCTCCAGCGAATCCTTAATACTAGTTGAAAGTTGAAAAGCCAAATAAGTAAAGGTAAATCCAAAATAAGAGTTGTTACCTAGCTACTATAATCTTTGTGGGAAAAAACAGAATGCGGCAAAAAAAGTTAAGCAAAAAAGTTGTTCTTGTTAACAATGTTAGGCATGGTGTAGCTAAATTTTGCGAGGCTTTTTACATCCAAGTGTTTAGTAACTTAACACTTTAAAGAAAAACACTTTAAATTCAACTTTGCTGTAGTATAAATTTAGAGGGAGAGAGATTTGCAGGGCTTGAGGAATATTAGAAAATACGAGAAATTATTGGGAGAAATATCACTAGACTAGGTCAAAGTCATGTTGTAGATAAGTGGCTTGTTAATAAGTAATATTATTCATATCATGTTTTTGTACCACATTTTCATATCATCTTGGGTTTTGCAAATTTTTTAAATGATGTGGTCATTTACCTCAGATATCATCTAAGATGGTATAAAAATGTGGTATAAAAATATGGTATGAATAACATTACTCCTTGTTAATATGAGAAATTATTAGGTAGTACTGTAATACCACGTCGTCTGTGATACTTTCATTCACATTTGCTATTATTTTTAGACTGTTGGAATTTAATATTATTTTTGCTTTTTAAATAAATTAAATATAAAAGAAAAAAAAAACAAAGGAGATCGGACGATCTCCTTCTTGCATTTGGATGGAGCGATGGTGCTGGTCATAATCAGGAAGGATGGTTCAGATTACTACCTTTAGGCCCTGTTTGGCAGATCGGATATGATTAGTTATACGGACTCGGGTGTTTGGCGTTCACTCGTACTAAATAAACGCCGGATTAATTTAACCGGTCGGATAGGATACACGGTATACACCCGCTTAATAAAACCAACCAAAACGCCAGGATTATTTAGTCGGGGAAGAAGAATAAGAAAGTGAGAGAGTTTGGGGGGTGTGGCGGAGAGAGCTGGGGAACAATTATTTGGGATTCTTCTGCAGTCACGGAAGAAGAAGGGAGATAGAGGAAGGGTGTTTGGGGGTGCAGAGAGATTTGGGAGCAAAAAAATGATTTCAATTTTTTTAAATTTTTTTTTTTTTTAAGTTTGATTCCTCCTATCTAGTATAATATCAAACACAGTATAAATAATACAGTCACTAGTCTGATACTGCACCAAACACCCAACTAATTTAGTCAGTACTATCCGGTGGCTATTTATCCTAACCGACATAAATAGTCAGTACAATCCGAGCTGCCAAACAAGACCTTAGTGATAATCAGACGTGGGAGATGTGAAATATAATGCAGAAATATACCAATTATTTATATGATCAAATATATCAAATCAAATGTATAATCACTATCTGACTTATAAAAGATTAAAATAGGAGAAAATTAATAAGAATACATGGCCTGTGAACCAAAGAGAGGTGCGATGTCGCTACCCTAAAGCAGTAGACGCCTCCCTACGTGTAGGTTATGGCGATGCCTACAACTCCAAGATACAACCCAAAGCCTCACATGATATCTGATCCGTTATGCACGCCAATGATAGACGGGATTGCCAAGTAAGAATCAATTGCCCAAGAATTGTAAAGTAGGAATGTAAATAGAGATGTGAAAACTGAGGGAAACAGAAAAGTTGTTGGCGTCTTATGTTTTCTGTCTGAGGTTTCCTTTTTTTAGAAATAAAACACGACTCTTAAATATTAAAAATAAATAAAATAAATAATAATAAGTTTTGAATCTTTAAAATAAAATATAATTAAAATAACCAACAATCCCCCACAAGATTCAAAACTCTATGAGGAATAAAATAGACACAATTGAAGAAGCGGAAGTTTGGGCAATTTGTATACCATGCATAATTTTCATCTAAAGGGTAGTGAACTAAGTCTTGAACTAGACTCCTCTAATTCAGATTACAACATATGACACACATAGTATTGATCAAAAACTTGGCGCGGGTTAGCGTTATTAATGGCCATGTGCTCAACTTGATTCTCATGAGTGTTTTTAGAGAACAACCAAATTCTCACAGTGACGGCCTCATGACTACTCTCACTTAGGTGAGTCCTCCAAGAGTACATGTGACCTATACTTTGTGGGAGATTGCCCGCCTTGGAACTCATTCAGGACAATGTCCTTCCTTAACATCACATATCATCAGCACAAATGCCATAAGGATGAGCAAGGGATTTTATTTCAAATCTCCTATTTTAGAATGCTGGAATATAAGTCACGCAATATGGATTGTTTCTACCCATTGAACATTCTTCATGGGATCTCCAATCACAAAGGTTGGGTTTCTTCCCTAGGTGACTTCCTTATGGGTTTAAGCCCATCCCCCTCGACAAATCTAGGACTCCATTCCTAGATAGACCTTTGGTCAATTGATTAGCAATGTTCTTTTCCGACTTCACATGGTCCAAAGAAACAACTTCTTTATTTAACAAGCTTCTCACAAATTTGTATCTAACATTAATATGTCTATTTAATTTCTTATTTGTATGTGTCTGCCTCACTAAATCTATCACAGCCTTAATATCACAATGTATGAAGATGGCAGGTATAAGCTTGCTCACCAATGGGATATCAAGCAAAAAATTCTTAATCCATTCAGCCTTTATACATACAGTATCAAGAGCTATGAGTTCAGATTCCATTGTACTTCTAGAAATTATTGTTTGTTTCTTAGATCCCCAAGATATAGCTGCTCCTCCCAATAAAAATACATAACCTGAAGTAGATTTCACTTCAGAGCTATCAGTGATCCAATTTACATCACTGTACCCTTCTACTACATAAGGAAATCCTTTATAGTGTATAGAATAATCCATAGTATATCACAATTTCACAATTTCCAGACTTGTTCCAAATAATAGTATATCATCAACGTAAAGACATAAAATAACACACTGTCCATTGCATTCATCATAGTAGACACATTTTTCATGCTCATTAATTTCAAAATCATATTCTAAAATGACTTTATCAAACTTCTCATGTCATTACTTAGGAGCTTGCTTGAGTCCATATAACGATTTAACCAACTTACACACTTTATGTTCTTGGCCTTTCACTATAAATCCTTTGGGTTGCTCCAAGTAAATTTCTTCATCTAAGTCTCCATTCAAAAATGTTGTTTTAACATCCATTTGATGAACTACTAAATTGTGTATAGAAGCTAATGCTATGAGGATTCTAAGTTCTGTTTTTCCAAATTTCATATGGAGTAGTAGTGTTGTCTTTAATGATTACTCTATTTAGTATAAAACATGCAGTCAAAATTGCTTCCCCCCACAAATTTTCTGGTAATCCAGAACTTAAAAGCATTGCATTCACCATGTCCAATAAGGTCATATTCTTCCTTTCTGCAACTTCATTTGATTGTGGAGAATATGGTGCTATTACTTCATGTATAATACCATGCTCCTCACAAAAAACACTAAGATCGGTAAGAGTGTATTCACCACCTCTATCAGACCTAAGTCTCTTTATCCCTTTCTCTAATTGATTTTGCACTTCTGTCTTGCAAATCTTCAATTTGCCAAATACTTCATCCTTGGTCTTTATCAAATAAATATAACAATACTTCGAACAATCATCTATAAATGTGACAAAATACTTATTACCAGCTCTAGTAGGTAATCTATTTGAGTCACAAGCATCACTATGTATAAGTTCTAAAATTTGGGTATTCCTTTCCACGGTTGTTTTACTTGTACAAAAATTTCACACTTATGCTTAAGATTCATATTTGACTTTGGCACTAGGTCCAAATCCATCATTTTCTTAATTTTGAGCAAGTTTACATGTCCCAAACGTCCATGCCAAACATTACTAGATTCAATATTGAGAACTTCTTGAATATTATTGCACTCGGAAGAAACACTTAACTTAAATAATCCTTCACTGATAAAACATTTTCCAATAAATACATTATTCTTAGTTATTACAACCTTATTTGATTCCATTACAATTTTATAGCCTTGCTTTACTAAGCATGATCCACTAATTAAATTTCTTCTAATATCAGGTACATGTCACACGTCCTTCAAAATTAAGACCTTTCCAGATGTCATCTTTAGATCCATGTCTCCAATTCCAAGAACTTGTGATAGTGAGTAATTTCCTAGAGTTACACATCCTCCATCTGATTTCTGATAGATTTTAAAAAATTCACGATCAAAACAAACATGTACGTTAGCTCCAGAATCTACCCACCGATCCTTATTTTCATAAGTAAAATTGACAAAGGAATCATACTTAAAATGTGTTTGAGAAGATTGTTGCTCCATCAACATATTCACTTGGGCTTTTGGACCATTATGATTTGACTTATACTTGTCCTCCTTAGTCTTCTTGTAGAAGCAATCCTTAGCCTTATGATACGTTCTTCTGCAAATGAAGCAAACCCCTTATCTCTTCCTTGATCCTTAGTCTTCTTGTAGAAGCAATCCTTAGCCTTATGATAGGTTCTTCCGCAAATGAAGCAAACCCCTTATCTTTCCCTTGATCCTTAGTCTTGTGGAAGTTCTTATTTTAGTTGCGTGATTTGAATTTAAAATTTGTTCTTCTAGGTTTGAAATTCTTCTTATTATTTATGGAGAACTTGTTTTTGTTTTTCC